TATTCTTCTCATATGATCCAGCAATTGTGCCTCTTGCTACTTACTCAAAGGAGTTGAGAACTTATGTCCACACAAAACCTACACATGAAGGTTTATAGCAGCTTTATTCATAATTGCTAGAACTTGGAAACAACCAAGATGTCCTGCAATAGGTGAATGGATAAGGAAACTGGGGTACATCCATACAATGGGATATTGTTAGTAATAAAAAGAAATGAACTATTAAGTCATGAAAAGACATGGAGGAAACATAAATGCATCCTGCTAAGTAATAGAAACCAGTCTGAAAGGGTACAAACTGTAAGATTCTGACTACATGGCATTCTGGAAAAGGCAAACATATGGAGACAGGTACAAAAACAAAACAAACAAACAAACAAAAAACCTGGCACAGTGGCTCACATTTGTAATCCAGCACTTTGGGAGGCTGAGGCAGGAGGATTGCTTGAGGCCAGGAGTTCGAGACCAGCCTGGGCAAAATAGTAAGACCCTATCTCTACAAAAAATACAAAAATCAGCCAGGTATGGTAGTGCACCTGTATTCCTCACTACTCGGGAGACTGAGGTAAGAGGACTGCTTGAGCCCAGGAGATCAGTTGGAGGGGGCCATGATCATACCACTGCACTTTAGTCTGGGCAACAGGGTGAGACCTTATCTTAAAAAAAAAAAAAAAAGAAAGAAAGGAAGGAAGGAAGAAAGAAAGAAAGAAAGGAAGGGGAAAAAAAAGATGAAAAATAAGTGGTTGACAGGGACCCAGGGGCAGGAGAGGGGGATAAATAGTGGAGCATAAGGGATATTTAGGGCAGTGAGACTCTTCTACAGGATACTGTAATGGTGGACATAAATGTCATTATAGATTTATCAAAACCCACAACACATTAGAGTGAACCCTCGTATAAAACTATGGACTTTAGTTAATAACAATGTATCAATGTTGGCTCATCAAGTAGAACAAATGTACCACAAAGATGCAAGATGTTAGCAATAAGGAAAACTACGATGGAAGGGATGATGAGATGGCACCTGGGAACTTGGCTTTCTGCCCAATTTTTTGCAAACCTAAAACTGCTAAAAAAATAAACTGTTAGAAAATGGTATCAACAGCCAGGCTCGGTGGCTCAGCCTGTAATCCCGTGCTTTAGGAGGCTGAGGTGAGTGGATTGCCTGAGCCCGCGGGTTTGAGACCCGCCTGGGCAACTTGGCGAGACCTCATCTCTACAATAAATCAAAAAAATCAGCCGGGTGTGGTAGTGCGTGCCTGTA